TTTTTCTTTTATTCGAAAATTAGACATTACACTCAAAACGACTCTTAACCTGATCTGTCTCAGCGCCGTTATCTTCACCACTTTCCTCCCCTCCGTTATCTTGGTCGTCCTGGTCGTGCTTTCCTTGGTGACTGTGGCTTGGTCGTTTGCGTTGGTCAAGACCGTGATGTTTTAGGTGGCTGAAAAGTTTCGGTGTGTTGGATTTTAGGAGGGTGGTTGACTGAAATGCGGGTGATGGCGATTATGATGGTGGTGGTGGTGGTGGTGGTGGTGGTGGTGGTGGTGGTGGTGGTGGTGGTGGTGGTGGTGGTGTGGTGGTGGTGGTGGTGGTGGTGGTGGTGGTGGTGGTGTGGTGGTGGTGGTGGTGGTGGGTGGTGGTGGTGGTGGTGGTGGTGGTGGTGGTGGTGGTGGTGGTGGTGGGTGGTGGTGGTAGTGGTGGTGGTGGGTGGTGGTGGTGGGTGGTGGTGGGGTGGTGTGGTGGTGGTGGTGGTGGTGGTGGTGGTGGTGGTGTGGTGGTGGTGGTGGTGGTGGTGGTGTGGGTGGTGGTGGTGGTGGTGGTGGTGGTGGTGGGTGGTGGTGGTGGTGGTGGTGGTGGCGATGGGTGGTGGTGGTAGATTACAATAACAATGATAAAAAAACAGTAACAACAGCATATGAACAAACAAACACAATCAAGCACACATAAAGAAACACAAAAAGTCAGTTTGAACAAAGAAACAACCACACAAAAAAACATAAACGTACATTCACAACAACGAAGCATACACATAAACATACAAACAGAAACTCAAACATGGTGTGTCAAACAAAAACACACAAAACTCAAACAAATGGGTGTACACATAACAACACAAAACACACATAAACAAAACATAAAGAATACATAACAAAACAAAACAAGAAACAAACACAAAAAACCAAACAAACACAAACACAAACAAACAAAAACAACAAACAAAACATAAACAAAACAAAAAACACTAACAAAACACAAAACAAACAAAAACAAACACATAAAACTCAAACAAAACATAAACAAACACAAACTCAAACAAAATACAAACAAACAAACACATAAACAAACAAAAACAACAAAAAACATACACAACAAAACATAAACAAACAAAACAACACAAAAACAAACACATAAACAAAGCACGACAAACACATAAACAAACAAAACACAAACTAAACAAAACACAAAACAAACAAAAACAAACACAAAACTCAAACAAAACACATAAACAAACAAACATGCAAAGGATGAACTCACTGTAACAAGTCATTATTATGGTGAGCATTGTGACTCGTATGAGGGTGATGCAGATGGTGAACATGTCGCTCGTGGTTCATAATCGCCACTTCATCCACAACCTGAAAGAAAGAAAGATTGAAATAAATGAATAAAGAAAGAAGAAAGGGAGAGAAGGAAGGGAAGAACAAAAGGAGGAAATGAAGTAAAAAAGAAAGGAGAGAGAGAGAGAGAGAGAGAGAGAGAGAGAGAGAGAGAGAGAGAGAGAGAGAGAGAGAGAGAGAGAGAGAGAGAGAGAGAGAGAGAGAGAGAGAGAAGGATAAAGAAGGGCAGAAGGAAGCAAAGAACGAAAGGAGGGAATTGATTAAGGAAGGAAGGAAGAAGAGAGAGAAAAAGAGAAAATTAAATAAAGAAAGAATTAAGAAGGAAGGAATTACGGTTTAAGCCTGAAAATGAATAACTTGTTCAAACTGTTATTATTTTTGTATCGAAAATTATGTTATTGTCCTTTACATTATTATTCTCATCGCTATCCTTATCATAAATATTAGTATAAATGGAATTATTCCTATCAACATTATTACCATTTCACTGATATCATGAATAATATCATTATCAATATTATTTCCATTATCAATAATATTATAACTAGTGTTATCATTATCAATATCATTATCATTGTTATCATTATCAATATCATCATTGTTATCATTATCAATATCATTATCATTGTTATCATTATCAATATCATTATCATTTGTTATCATTATCAATTATCATTATCATTGTTATCATTATCAATATCATTATCATTGTTATCATTATCAATATCATTATCATTGTTATCATTATCAATATAACACTTCTAGTTCTTATCAATGCCATGTCCTGCCTGAATTTTGATAACCCCAGTTACCTCCAACCCCAACTACCGTATACGTATAGGCAATGTTGACAATGTTATATAACAATATTATAGAAGTATATACAAGTATTTAAAAGGATAAGAGTATAAGTATTTGATGATGTAAAGTAGGTAAGTACATAAGTGTATCGCCATTCCGTAGTGGGTGTCGTCGGCTTCCTCAAAGCTTATATACCTCTGTCATTGACGGAAGCAAGTGTATCTTTTCCCTGAATTTCCTACCAATACTATTTGACCAGCCCATCATCTGGTTATCGGGCAATCAATAATAATAATGATAACCCCCTTCCCAATTTTACAAATCCCCGTCTTATCCAATTCGC